CATTCTTGTATAACAAAAATAAGATCTAAAATTAGCATGCACATCGCAAGTCGCAATCGAGAAAGGCGAAAGTGCCGAAAGCTGCATGCGACGTATTTGTAAACAACATTGGTGTCTATATTTTTATAGATAGGTATAGTGAATGTTTATTAAGTAATTTTCAAAACTAGCACATTACGCATGCTTAACGTGACCATTTATTTTTTACCTCTGAGCGGGACGCCCTTAAATTATTATTGTTTAAAAAATAAAACACATGTTCTATACTTGTTACGAATAATATTTTATTATATTCAATATATTATTATATTACATTTTATAAACAATATTTTATAATATTGGTACCTACTTATGAAATGTTTAATGATTAAAAATGAAAATAAGAACTAATCCTGTGCTGTTTGGTGGGCTGGCTTTTTATATTTTTAGGATGAGCAAATGTTCTATAATATATCCGGTTTACTTTTTAAATATGAATGGAATTATTGTTGGCGTGACTTGTTGATGTCACCCTTTGTTATCAAAATGGCTTTTAACACTGGGACTCCTAATCGTGTTTTTTCACTAGTCCATACTTTATTAATATGGGAAAACACTCTTTCAACTGGAGCGTTACTGCCAGGCAGACATAAAATGTACTCAATTATTATACGAAAATTCGTGTATTTGAGGTTATTAGTTTGAAAGTGTTCTCAGAGTTCCATTCTGTTATTTTCTGAGCTGTAATATAATTGGAAATCAATGAAAACTCGTCGAACACTCCTGAATCTTGGCTGTTGCTAAGAAATCCTTTTTCTATTAGTAAATCCATCACACTTTGAATCTGCTCCCATGTGGGGACCGTAGTCAGGTTGTTCAACCGCTACATGCTGCTGTTCCGTTCCTGCTAGAAACAATACACGTGCGGAATTATGGACCTACAATTATGTTGGGGGCGACAAGGCTTCTTGCTTGCTTTTACGCTTTTGTCTTGTCAAAGCGGGGCATTTTTACGTATTTTGGGGACAGCTGGACACACAGCTTGAAAGCGGGACTGTCTCGCTCAAGCGGGTATGGTCACGTTACGCATGCTATGTGAAGGTATAAGACAATCAGTTTGCGCCCTCTAGGTCCCAGCGGGTAAAGACGGCCCTGGTCACTAAACATTGAAATAAATAACTTTATAAGGTTATACACTACACAAATACATTTCACAAACACCTTCTAGTAAACGTAGCTGAAAACTAAAATATACATGTAACAAAATGAGGCAGTGATGACGTATTCGGTCATTCCCGTTTCGCCGAAACAGTTGTGGCAGTTTGTTTTTTTAATCGTTTACTATTCCATCATATCATACCAGGTGTGAAGTCAACTGGTAATAGCAACTTTTCAGAGGCGGCAATCTGGCTTTTAAATTGAACAGCAGAGGCTAACCTCCGTTGTCCTTCATTGCGTTTACAATTGGATAGGATTTTGCTTACATCGTATTAGAAAGTATTTTTATTTATTTTTTATGTTCGTTTTTTAAACATAATAATTATTTTAAAACATGAATAAGTTTCATTTACAATATTTAGTAACATATCTTCGTACCAATCAGGGCCGGATTAACCCTATAGTGACGCCCAGGGCTACAAGCTCTACACAGGCCCTCTTTATAAAAAAAGGTCATGCAATCAGCAACTTGTCGATATAAAATTTCAAAACCTAAACACTTTTTGTTTCGATTCTTAAAAAAAAGATAAAATTCATTTTGCCAGATCTGGTCGAGGCACCCCGATCTCACGAGGCCCAGAACTCAATACCAATATTAGTTAATATTTAACAAATCTAAAAAAAAATTTTTTTTCAATCAATAGAATGTTTTCATAATGTTCGAAGCTTCATCCGCATTGATACAAAAGAAATAAGGTGACATTAAAACACGTCGCCAAGCCAAATAAAAGCAATTTGTTTTACTAAATTATTTTCTATTGTCGATTCTTACAGCCGATTTCAATAAATCAACTGGAAACACTGATAATGCACACCGACACAACTTACCACGCTAATTTCGTGTGGCACCGATTACACCGCGGCGGCGTGAAAACAATTAAGGTGTAGTTTAAAAACTAATTACCACTCTTAAGAAAATCAATCCCCCCCCTCCCTAGTATAGTGTAAAAGTTGCAGATGTTAAAACTGAATATATGTTGTGAATTTATAATCTGTTTCTTGATTTTGAAATTTGAAATATTCATTATAAATAATAATGGAAGAGGAAAATAATAAAACAAGTGTTTTCACTGATTTCGTTTAATGATAAAATTATATTTACAGCAATACATGAGAATGTTTTATGCAGTAAGTTTCGTAGTTGTTACAAAAAGAAAATAAATTACATAACCAAACAAGAAAAACTCTTGGATGAACAGGAATATGAATATTTTCAATCAACAAAATCAAATCCCTGAGATAATCAGATCAAATAAATTCAATTTTCGATGAAAATTTAGTTCAACTTTTTTTCTTTCTAATACTACCTCTGGAACAATAATATATTACATACTGTTGTCTACATATAGATACTTACAATCTAATATTGCTACACGTTTACTGATATTTATAAATACACTAACTTTATAAATAAGACGATAATTACTTTCAAGTCACAAAATTATATTAATCCATAAAATAACAGTCTTTTGGCAGATATACAGAAAAAAATCATAAAATTCATTAATCATATTAACACACAACTACACTAAAATACTGTTTCCTAAATATTTATATATTATTTACAACTTTCAGTGGAACTCTTCCGAACAATAATTTGGTTGGATTAAGTAGATAATACATGGCAGTGTTATTCAGCATGACCCGCAATGCTTTACACATATTAAGATTCCAAAAATAAACGAATATTAATGTTATTATTACATGTTATGAAAATTAGTTTAAAGGTACTCAGAAGTAAACTAAAATATCTTAATATCATCTGGTTATTAAATGCAATACCAAGCTTCGAAATTATAACCACTAATAAATTATTTCGGAATTTTAAGTTATTTGCATGACATATAAGGTATTTTAACTCTCAAAAAACTGTAAATTAGTAAATACACTTCTTGATAACCCATTCCAATTGTAGTAATATAAAGTTTTAATATATTTGTAAAAAAGAAAACGGAATATATGATACATTCATTATCACTGAAAATCTGAAATATTGACTAAAAAACTGATCGCCACTAAATATACCTAATAGAAATATTGCCGTTGATGGATTAGACTCTAGTTGAAAATCAAATGATTTGTAAATACATACATAAAAAGAAATAATGAAACTGTTGCTTATTTCGCGGAGAAACCAACAAATAAAATATAAAAAAATTAGAAGATACCTATATTTTTTTCTAATCAGTAAAATTTTGTAACAAATAATTACAATATGTACATATTTATATAACACTTTTTAACAAAATTGTAGGATTCAATAAACCACTTTGAAATCTTAATACTGCATATAAATAATTCCAGTTACTAAAATTTTGTAACAAATTATTATATTTATTTATATAGTATTTATTACAATATTGTAGTATTAAATATATCATATTGAAGATTTCATACTACACATAAATAAATGAATTATATCTTTTCAATTTTTTTTATATAAATACATACAGGGTGGGCCATTAGTGTGAGAAAGTAAAATAACTCCCTTGTTATTCATAATAGGTACAGAAAAAATGTTTATATAAAAGTTGTATAGAATCAAAAAACCTAACGGACAAAATTAATTTGAAACACACGGCGATGAGTAATAACGGGACACGCCAAATATTACATTTTTTAAACGGAACACCCTGTATATTTTTAAACATATGGATTTCCGAGAAAATTCTGTATATGGCAATATAAACAGTTTATCATTTTAATGCGGGGTTGCCAAGTTATGTAGAAAATTCTTTCAATTTTGGAAAAACATGGCCTCGAAAAAGTTGTATTAACTTTCAACTACAGTTGGAGCAAAAATATTTGACAGAGTTATAGGCAAATGTTAGAGGCAAAGACTCCTATATTAGCTAATATCAATATTTTATACAGGGCATTTTTTATAATACGATCATTTTAAGAAAGTTCAAATTTGATTTTCTAAAATTTTTCAAATGGAACACCCTGTATTCTATTGTTCTATTTTATTCACATATCAGTCCACTTCAACTTTTATTAAGTATGTTCTACACCTAAAGTTGTTAGTTTTTAAGATATAGCAACATTTCCGGAAAAACCTAATTTTTATTATTTTCGGTCGCACGAAATGGGTTTGGAAAAAACTGTCACACTGTGTTCATAATTTATCATTCCATTTTGAGTTAATTTTATTAGTTAATATTTATTTGTGGTATTCTATAAAATAATAAAAAATTAAGTTTTTTCAGAAATGTTGCTATATCTTAAAAACTAACAATTTTAGGTATAGAATATGCTTAATAAAAGTTGAAGTGGACCGATATGTGAATAAAATAGAATAATAAAATACAGGGCAAACCATTTGAAAAATTTTAGAAAATCAAGTTTAAACTTTCTAAATATGATCGTATTATAAAAAATGGCCTGTATAAAATAACGATATTAGCTAATATAGAAGACTTTGCCTAACATTTGCCTATAACTCAAATCAAATATTTTTACTCCAAGTGTTAGTAGTTGAAAGTTAATACAACTTCTTCCAGGTCATGTTTTTTTCCAAAATTCGAAGAATTTTCTACATAACTTGGCAACCCCGCACTAAAATGATAAACTGTTCATATTGCCATATATAGAATTTTCTCGGAAATAAATATGTTTAAAAATATACAGGGGGTTCCATTTAAAAAATGTAATATTTGGCGTGTCCCGTTTTTACTCATCACCCTGTATGTATCCAATTAATTTTTTAGTATAGGTTTCTTGATTCTGTATAACTTTTATATAAACTTTTTTTCTGTATTATGAGTAACAAGGGAGTTATTTTATTTTCTCACACTAATGGCCCACCCTGTATATAGTCCCCAGCCGATATATCAATGTAAATTAAAAGTCATTCATAATTCACAATTTTTTTGTTGCAAAAACATATTAGTTGAGAGTAAGAAACTTCAACAAAATGAAAATGCAGCTTAATAATATTATCCTTACATTAATGATTTATTTACATTGATAGAGTGATAACTGAAAATAGATAATTTGTTAATAAATAATTAATAGTAAATATTTTTGTAATTATTTGTAATAAACTTCTTACTTCAGAAAGTGAATACTTACAGGTTTCATCCGCAGAAAAACTTGCTATGAAAAAGGTATGTTAATATGTTAATTCAGTTGCGAGCCATCGACAGCAGAATAAACAGCCTTGTTTCTACAAGCAGTGAAAGACCAAATGGCACGGTTTAAAAAAAATACACGCTCTGTTCCAAAATTGTTACTGCTAACATAAAATTTCATAACAACTATGTAAAAGCTGCTAGCGTGTAAAACTGGCCACGGGCACGATCCTTACAACCTATCCTTCACAAAAAAAGGCTACAGTATAATTTAAAAATCACATGCTCGATTGATAAATTTCGAGAGACAAAAAACTAATTAAGTATAAAAAAATCTAACAAAATTCACAATAGAGTCTTCGATAGAGTGGTGTTTGTGCATGTAGTCTCTATACACACTATGATAGGCTAGAACACTGTAAAAAAAATAAATACAAAAGTCGGGTAGGCGCTCTCTATCGGACGAAGAACGAGCGCTTAGGACGCCAAGGCCGTTCGGTTGCTAGATGGCGTGTTCTGCGCAAACAGGACGCCCTGGTAGGTAACGCCGTTGAGTTCCATGCTGACTACGAGGGAGTTGTCCCCGTTGCGGGAATCTCCTGCAAAAAAGGAAGATCATTAGTCATCCACATCATTAACCGGGTTAATTTGGCGTCTGGGTGACAGATGGATGTTTATTGAATCCGAGGTGGGATCATTAATATTGCGCCTGGAACTAACGCGGAATTAGAAGTGGAACGGTGCGGAAAGCAATATGTGTCAATGATTGAAGGAAGTGTCGATGAGAAAACTGTGATAATGGTACTGAATGACGAATTTGCATGATTTAGAGACGAGACTTAGAATTAGAGTTTTATTCATACAATGATAATAGCAAGACGTAAAAATAACAGTCAAGATGTTCAGTTCAGAGTAGCAGCCGGTATAGAAAAGTTGAAATTCATAAATCATGTTTATCTGGAGAATTTGATAATTTTTGTATATTGCTAACAATTTGCCACCTATGAAAAAATATTTAAAATCCATGAAATAAACCAATATACCAAAAGTACTTTTATGAAAATAATTTTTGCATAAACAAAAATCTGACCTTGAAAGAAAGCACAGAAATACAAAATACCTATGACATACAGAAATGCAATTTGTTTTCGTATTCTAAACTGACGATGACTTCATTTTCAATTATTTTATTTCTTTTTATAGTTTTTTTTATAGTTATCATATGACGTATATTCTATTATGACTTATTATTTTAGTACTTGTAGTTAATAAAAAAAAACTAAACTTACTCACAAATGGAGTTCTTCATGAATTAATTTCATCAATTTATATAATAAAAGATTTAGTCTATTGTAGAACTTCTCTATAACTATTAGGTAAATATAAACATGAAAAAGAGAACATTCCCCGTTCAGTTCAGTTATTTTTTATTAATATAAAAAATATGCAATTCTACTATTCCATTCATAGTATTTATTATTCTCTATAAAGTCACACTCTAAATGTCGTTTTACATTTAGCAATTTTTTAATCTAATAAATTGATGAAGACATAACCAAGAAAAACGGAGTTCTAAATTATTGTCCGATTTTAAGGATATTTAGTGGTTTTTATATTTCACTAATCTAGAAATTTAACACTTACTTTTATTTTTAAAAATGTTCAAGATAAGGAAAAAAACTGATCACGATTTTACTCACAAAACAAAACAAAATTTAAAATAGCATTGCGACAAATTATGCAATTGTTTATATAAGGGTTTATTGGCTAGAAATGATCACAACTTCTTTATTTGAGATATAAAAATATAAATCTCATATTGAAAATGAAAAACATAGACAAGACGAAATCGGCGGCTTCGTATGAGAAAATTAGTGGATTCGATTTTTTGCATAATCACCTCCGTGAGATGTCCCTGAATGAGGATCAAAATGTTACCGGCCGGTAACCTGGTCACAATTTTTTTAAACTAATTTTTTTTAAACAAATTGCAAAAATAACTTGTTTTGCTCCGGAAAAAGTTTATTTAGGTATTTTGGGGTATTCTAAACAAAATAGTTCCTATGCACTATGCTCCTAAAATCAACGGTTTC